TGCGCGCCCCGCCCCGCTCTCCTCCCTGGCCCGCTTCACCTCGCTCCCCAACCCCGGCCCACTCAGCTCCCCCACTCCTCCCCTCCACGCGATCACCTCTACTCCCTCCTCCCCATCGCGCGATCTCCCCATCCCTCTTCCCACGCTTCCCCCCCTGATTACCCTCCGCCCACACTCACATGTGCACCTGGGCTTGGCAGGAGCGGCACATCTGTTCGAAGATAACGCAGGTGTCGTACAATGAGCTCAACGAGAACAGAAATCTCGTTTGGACCAAGAGGGCAAAAAAGCTCATTTGATTTTATTTCCAGTACGAATACAATCTGTGAGAGTGTGGCCTATCGATCCTTTACCGTTTCAGGATTTGAATCCAGAGGTGTCAGAAAAGTTACCACAAGGACCACTGGTTCGTGATCATCATCATCATCATCATTATCACCACGGCTCAACGTCGTCCGTATGCGCGAACTCTTCCACGACCTCATCTTTCCACCGGGGGAACGATCGAGAAGAACCTTTAGGGGTATAATCAAGCCCTTCCTCGACTAAGAGGAAGGATATCTATTGCTCCCAGCCAACCGGGAGCATAGTATTGTCAATTCCTATCCCTCTTACTAATCCCCTCCCTTCATCTCGCCGATCTCTCTCGAAGATCTCATATTTTTTCTCTTGTCTTACCTCCTCTCCATCCCTCCTTCTCTCCTCTACTCTCCCACCTGATTGGTCACATCATCTAAAATTTCTACTACGCGTGACGCGTATCGTCTTTCTTTGTGCTTGTCTAACAATGCCGTCCATTCTGCAGTTCGGAATCTCGACCTAATTTGATAGGATTAATCTCCATTTCCTTTTCTCCCAATGCCGTGATCGGAATCAATTCCGGTGTTTGTGTTCAAAAGTTATCTGAAATTCTTTATTATATCAAATTCTTTTCGTAATTTAGTTTAAAATTTGACTTTATTTCAGAAATTTGTGAAATAAATTTCGCAATTTGCTTAATTCATTTTTTTTGACGTCGACTTTACTTCTATTTTCTATCCCCCGTAAAATTCCAAAATTTTGGAAATCTTTTTGAACTTTTTTTGGAATTCTTTTGAAATTCCTTTGCAACTCATCTTAAGTTTGCAACGTGTTGCTAAATTTTCTCAAATTAATCTAAATAATTTTGACATTTGTCTTAATTTATGTTATTGGCTGTCGTTAATTCCTTATGTCGTTTCGTCGTAAATTCTTAATTTAGGAATTAGTTTTTTATCTTATTTCAAGTCGCCTTTGAAATGTTTTTAATTTCGGAAATACACCACGAAATTTTTCATTTTATTCCAAACTTCTCCTCTAAACTCATCTTTACCTTTTCTGTCATCTCCCCGAACTTTTGAAAATTTTCAC